AATATTAGCAAGACACGAAATATCAAGAATGTATGGCAGCTGACATACTTTACCCACTCATTCTATGCACATGTGTACATTATTATAAAAAATATGACACTTACTCATATGATTGACATTGTCGGATGGTATTTCCACATTAATTGGATTTTATTTGTTTTCAGTAGATATCTCGACGTTTGACTTGTCAGGAGTTTTATTCTTACGATTTGAATTAAGAGTATAAGAATTATTTACTTTGTCTTCATATTTATTTGTTAGTCTAAATTTTTTACGTGAATCGTTAACGTCGTCGAGATGAGTTCTCTTCTTTGATTGATAAGTCTTAAAAGTTTCAGGCTTTTGAATCCTCGAATCCTCGTCTTCATCAAATGTTAAAAGATCTTTATAAAATTTTATAATTTTACGTTTATTTGGACGTTTGCCAACATAATGAGGATTTGTACGTATGTTGATGTTGATGACAGGAGTTCTATTCTTTTTTCGATACGTCTTGTGGGTTTCAGAATTGTTAATTCTTACATTTTCTTGTTCACCAGAATTATTTACTATTTCGTCTGCATGAGTTTTTTTACTAGACATATAATAGTCTATAATGTCTTGTGGAATTCTTTCGATCAATACAATCGGATCTATAAGTTCAAAAATTATAAATAATTTTTTGATAAATATTTCATGTAAAATATATAAATTGTAAATTAAAAACAAAATATATTAATATAAAATAAATTAAGCTTACTTACAAGAATTGTTAATTTTTACATTTTCTTGTTCACCAAAATTATTTACTATTTCGTCTGCATTAATTTTTTTACTGGACATATAATAGTCTATAATGTCTTGTGGAATTTTTTCGATCAATACAATCGGATCTATAAGTTCAAAAATTATAAATATTTTATGTAAAATATATAAATTGTATATTAAAATATATTAATATAAAAAATAAATTAATCTTACTCATATGTTTGTCTGCTTCGGATGGTATTTCTACATTAATTGAATTTGATTTGTTTTTAGTAGATATCTTAGCGTTTGACTTATTGAAAGTTTGATTTTTACGTTTCAAAATTAACGTATCAAAATTTTTTACTTGTCAATCANTTTCTTAATGCATGGTTTTGAACCCAATCAGCCCATTGATAATAAAATCTTACCCGAGGTCGATTCTTTCGAATTATCAAAAAATATTAATAAACTAAAGGAAATAAGGGATGAAATTCCTAAGTTAATAAAAATTGAACAAGATAGACAAAAAAAATACTATGATAAAAATCATAAAGAAGTTAGCTTTGAACCTGGTCAATTGGTTTTAATCAAATTTAATGTGCATGAGCCAAATATTTCAAAAAAATTATCATATAAATATCGCGGTCCATTTAAAATTATTGAAAAATTATCCGACATAAATTATAAAATCGCTCTAACATTAAATGGTAAAAATACCATTGATACTTTTAATGTTCAGAGGATAAAACCTNATACCATTGATACTTTTCATGTCCAGAGGATAAAACCTTATTATAAAAGAAATGAATAAATGTATATATAAATGTTATTATTATTACTTTGTAAAAAATTATTATTCATTAATTATTAAGTTTTGCTTATTTAGGTATAAAATGAATAAAATAAGGTTTGTAATCATTGACTTTGAATTTGGTATGTATAACAAATTTGATTTAGTATTAATCTCTGGTGCCATTGGCGGTAGCCGGGATCTAGAATTAATTTTGCATTTGGAAGGAACGCCATTAATATTAGGAAATAATACAACTAAGTTATTAGACAATCAGGTAGAACCACTCAAAGACAGAATGAAATGGATCTTTAGGAAAAAAAAAGAAAAATTAACTCCACTTTTTGCAGAATTAAGAATTAGTACGGCAAANTTCCACTTTTTGCAGAATTAAGAATCAGTACGGCAAAAAACAATGCACAAAATTTAAATTATAATTCTATTAATACTTTTATTGAATGGATTGGCCACTTGTATAATGAAGTCATTTTAATAACGTGGAGTGGTTCTACTGATGAGGTTGTTTTAAAAAAAATTGGGTATTAACAATAGAATTTTAGACTTAAATGGCGAAGACTTAAATAAAAATGGCTTTTTTACATTAACTATTAAGGATAACCTTGGTAATTTATTATTTGGGATTGATTTGGGTTATTTTAAAAAAAATGGGCACCTACTTAAATTAGAAGAGGCACATAGAATAATATGTGATAAAAAGCATGGTCTACCTCATATACCTGAAGTTGACGTAGCCATGACTAGGTGTCTCTTCAATTTTGCAATAGTTAATTTAGGAGAAAAATTTTTAATACCAAATTTAACTTAATATGATGTTCTTTTATTTAATTTTTAGAATGTGGTTTTGCTGGGGAATGTTACTTATAACTTGCCAAAATATATTTATGGAGAGAATTAAGGTATCAGTATCTTCGGGTGCTTTCTTTAACGAGATACAAGAGGCAATGATGTATGATAAAAGTATTCCATTAACTTATACTCAGATTATTTTAGAAAAAGAAAAAACAAACGTGGGTGAGTCATTAGCTGTAGAAGGCTATTGTAAAAACAAAGATACTAATTATTGCAATATTATTAACCAATCTTTAGTTATACTAAAAAATATTAACAAAAATATGTGGGAAAATCAATTGGATCTTAATGATTTTAATTTCAATAAAAGATCAAAAAGGGGCATTCAATTTTTGGGTAACGGGTTTCATTTTTGTTGTAATGTTGCTACCGAAAAACAACTAAAAAACTTTTATTCTAATGAACAAATTTTAAAAGATCAATTTAATAAATTAAAAGATGTTTTTACTTCTGACCACAAAGACCTTAATGATATCACTTCACAACTTAATAATTATACTTCTAATACCAACATTAAGATCGAATTATTAAAAACGGCGTTTCAAAAAATTAATGATGAAAATAGAAATAATGCAAGGTTGGAAGACAATAACTTAAATAATTCAATTCAGGGCATACAAGAAATACTTTTTACTATAATGTCTGTTTTTTCTAAATTAATTGATTATGAAAGAATGTCTAATGCACATTTACATTGTAAAAATAACAAAATTCCACCAAGAGTATTATCTACTGATATACTTTACAAAGATTTATTGAAATTACAGAAAACAATAAATAAAGACGGTTATGAATTAGTTATTCCAATAAAAAATTTACATTCTTATTACAATTTACCTATTGCTGAATGTCAGTTTTCGGAAACCCAAATATTACTAAAAATAAAAATTCCCATCAAAGAAAGTAATTCAATGTGGAAACTTTTTCAATATATACCCGCTCATTTCAAATTCCATGATTCCATTTGTCTAATCTTTTCAGAAAAAACTTACATTGCAGTTAATGAGTTTAACGATGAACATAGAGTTGTTTCTGGTGTCGGGTTACAACATTGCGATCCTCCGGTTACTGATTTATGCTTTATTCCAAAATTTTCCGCTGACGTAACACTCTCACCAAGATGTGTGGAGGCGATTTACAAAAATTTACCATTAGAACAAATCAATCAAGTCTGTTATTTTCAATGTATTAAACACATAGAAAATGACTATATTATTATCAAACAAATAGGAGTAAATAGTTTTGTTATAACTAATCCCCAACCTAATCTGAAAGTCAGAACTTTTAATGACCACAATTATACTGAAACAGAATTAGATATAAACTATGATTACCCGGATTTAATTAAGATAACATTGTCTTGTGAACAAGAATTAATAAGAAATAATAATATTTTAATCCCTAAAATGTACCCTTGTGAAAAAATTAACAAAAATACTCTAAAAATATTAAGAATATTGCCTATTTCTTGGACCAATATTAAATCACTAAAAATTAAACATGATGACCCGGAAGCAATAGAAAAATTTTATTTTAACAATATTTCAGAAATCCTTAATAAAAATTGGACCTCGGTGGTGCCAAACTTTCATATAACCAAACAAATTAACTCTGATGAATATTTTAAAGATATTATGTTAAAATCTTTTTCTATTCCACTTATAGACAATTTTTTAGGAGACATTATTTATATCTCTTGGCTGTCATTATTAACTTTGGTCATGGCTTTCTCAATTTACAAAATTTATCCAATGTTTATAAAAGTAGACGTCATGGGTTTACCACCTCCAATACCTCCTAAATATCAAACATAATTTCTTACTACTGTAATATTGTTAGTTTTTTTTTTTCTCTTTTGTCTTTTCCTTTCTCTTTTAAATATTTACAATTCTATTAATACACTAATTAACTAACCACAAATTAATAGTATAAAAATCTACACAAAGCAAAAACCATTTAATCAAGATGGATCAACCAAATGAAGTATTCCATCTCCTATAAAAAAGAAACTCGATTGGAAAGAAATTTGACTAAGCGGAAATGGAAACCACACAAGGATGGAATAATAATAAAATGGATGTCATAAAACCAACTCTACACTTCATCTATCAAAATTAAACTACTAAATATTTTTAATATTATTGTATCTTTGACTTAATCGTGTACCCTTTTCAGATAAATTTAGAAAAATATATTCTTGCATACACATAACAATAATAATAAAATAACGTTGAATTTCAAATTATTATTATAATGATAGTAATTAAACAAAAAGTAAATTTTCATAAATCAGTCCAATAATTTCCTATCCTCTATATAAAAAAAAAGTTAAAAATAAATCGATTACAAATAATCGATATACATGAATATTAATAATAAAATAACATGTAAAGAAGTGAACGTGTTTATGAATGACAAATAAGATACTCTATTAAATGTAAACACATAAAAAAAAAGAGTTCAGTTCACTGTCTTAAAGATATACTTAACTTTCACTACACAAAAATGTCAATTTTTCTATCTATTTCCCTCCTTTTTATCCTTTATTATGGAAATTTACTAATTTAAAATATGAGGGCATATTTTTTACTTCAACATAGGGGAGTGTAATATAGGTCATTATTTTATAAAACTGAAAACAAAGCATTTTTGTAATGTTTGGTTTAACTATGAATTTCTTAATCTATTATTACAAAAATATAATATAGTCTATTATTTGTAAACCTAGAAGTAGAACACTTATGTAATGTTTAGATTAATTGTAATTCCCCAAATTATTGTTACTAAACCAAGAAGTAAATATTTATAAACATTTTTGAAAATTATGGCATTATGAATCTCTTGATCTATTATTACTAAAATATAATATAGTCTATTATTTGTAAACCTAAAAGTAGAACACTTTTGTAATGTTTGGATTAATTGTAATTCCCCGAATTATTGTTACTAGATCAGGAAGTAAATATTTATAAACCTTTTTGAAAATGATTACTATATGAATTTTATAAAAAGACAAACAAAATATTTTAGTATATAAGATGAAACGGAATGAATTAAAAGGGGAGAAAGAGAAGACCTCGGGAGTACCGAAGGTAATCTCTTTCCGTGTGGTACGTTTGTGACTTTAAGTTTTTATTTTGTGTATTATTTATTTATCCGTTTTTAAGTGTATCAATATTTTATATGTTTTTATTTCGATTGATTATATCTTTATTAACTACATTTTGCGTTATTATTGAACTACTAAAAATATAAGTTAGAACAAAAAGATTGTTCCATATTAATACAACATATTGATCTTTACTTTTCTTTTGTAACTTAATGCAAATCATATAATACATTATAATATCTATAATTATAATGCATTGCTTTGAATGTGTTGAATACATTACTATACACATAATCACTACCTCATATACACATATTGAAGGACTCTGTGCGGATTGCTCCATTGGGATTCCAGACAGTAACACGAACAACAAATAAATATTAAATACCCTCAGGCAAGCCATCCAGATCCACCACAATGGCATATATATATGCCATCGAAAACTACGGATATATGTGATTTATTATTATTTTTCTATTTAAGTTATTAATTTAAGAAAATTTAAGAATTCAATGTTCATTATTGAAAAAAAACATTTAATTCATCTGGCTGATAATTTCAACGGGCACACGGTGTGTTTATCGTGATACTGTATACTGTATTAATTTATATTTACTTTTGTGTGAATTTGATGGAAACCAAATAAACGTACTTCAAGTAAATAATTTTGAACGAATTACGGCGGTTTTTGTGTTATGGAGAGCAATTGAAATTTTTAAAATCTTCGCAAAAAGCTTACGAGTTCTGTGTGTACAGACATTACCGTCGTGTATTGAATCCTTTTCGGCAGACGAAAATCACGATATGTATAGAAACACCGTATTGGCCACCGATCGGTCAAAAACGACCAACGCTAGAGTGCCCTACAACGTCAAAATACTAACCGTGAATCCAAACGGATCTTCCGCGGACAAGATTGCTACCAAACCGAAATATATCGCCTACACTGACACGATTACGATATCAAAGCCATCGGCTATCGGACTGATAAAAAACAAACGAAACGGTATTACCGATTGTGACATTACGTTTACAAAAATGAAACGGCTTTCGTGGGTCACCCCATATTCTTGCATGTCCAATAAACGAAAGCTCACTACGAATA